CCTGGTTTTGTAGTAGGAAGCCTTGCACAGTAATTTACGCTGATTATTTTGGCATCTAAAGCAAAGGTACTGCTCATAGCCAGCTCAAAGCTTTTAAAAACCTCTTAATGTTCTGCTCAACTACCAGTTGGCTCAAGTATCTATGGATTGTGCATACATTTGTGTTTGGTGAAAAACAAATCCACGCTCACAGAATCCCCAGCACACTGGACACCCTGTGAAGAAATAATAAATGGAGACACTATGTTAAATAGAAACAGAGGGGGTTTGGGGGTATTTTTGTTTTTTATCACGACCTTGGCTAACACTGATTGCAACTTGATCAGTGGGGAGAAAAAAAACATTTTGAATGGAGTATGGAGTCTGCACTTGGAGCATCCAAGAGACTCCCTTCAAAACATGTCCACTTTATCTCCAATCACATGCTTCAGAAACATTTCACTAACACAGCCTGCTTGCTTTCAAGGTTATAGTTTTGGGTTTTTTTTTCCCCCCCGCAGCATAACTGGTAAAATACTGTAAAAAAGGACCCCACCTCTAACTCTGGCACGGCCACGGGCACTGGAGACTCCAAAGGCAACTCACCCAAGGCCAGTTCAACCACCTGAAGGCACGAGTGCCCACCTCCCCCCGGCGGGAGCACTGCGACTCCTGGAGCAACACGTCGTGCCATATGGCTCCAAAATGGATATGAAAATTGAGAATATCAATTACCAATCCACTAATGCCGAGAGCCAGAATCCACGGACAGTAAGAATTTAATCCAATTCAGCGCCCAGGACGTGCGGGAGGCAAATCCAGCGGCGGCTTCACGGAGCGCAAACAACTCCCAGGTTTTTATGGCAGGAACCATAAAAGCAGCTCAGCCTAACGTTGCCTTAACATCCCTCCCCAGGGCTCCAGGGACCTCGCAGGGACCCACAACAGCAACGCCACTTTCAGAGGAATTGGCATCTGGTTTCGCAGGGATTGAGAAATCCTAACTAAGTGACTATTTAAGAAGAAACTGTTTAGTTGTTTTCCACATGAGCAAACCTAAGGCTCCAGAGCACCAGGAAGTTGTTACACAGCTGCAGCCAACATCTTGCTTAATGTCAGGAAAAGGCACCCTACAAACACGAAAGAGATATATATATATATATATTTCTACTGCAATTAAATTAATTGCATTAGTTGAAGGATTTTCTTATTCTAAGTAAACTAGTTTAATGGTTCCAGTTTTAAAATTCTTCATAGCTGTGGAGTGTTTCTTCTTGGATGGTATTAAGGGTTTCTTCTTGGATGATATTAAGGGTTCCTTCTTGGATGATATTAAGGGTTCCTTCTTGGATGACATTAAGAATAAGGCTCCACAAAATTCTACACACTCCCTAATTGTACAAAACTTCATTGATTACTTACAAAGAAGAATTCTCATTAAGTCCAAATACATCATTTTCGCATTTCCATGAGGCATGGAGGTGATTTAAAAACTGTTCTGCTAAGGTTTCCTGTGGAATTTTAATTTACCGTGTTGTCAAGGATTTCATGGTAGGATGCTTGCTACGTACTGACTGAGCAGCTGCAAGGACTCAACAAGGATAAATGTAATTTATCTTACCCAAAACAGAATCCCACTTGACTCTGCTCCTTTCTGATCCTGTACTGAAAGGCCAAAGGAGCAGTAACAAAAAAAACTGCACAAAAATTTCGAGTTCAACAGCACATTAACATCAAATGGATGTTTATGTGCACAGTATTCTCATTTAAAAAACTGTTCCTGAAAAACTAGAGGAATAAAATGCACTCAGCTAATTTCAGCTTTTTTTTTTTATTATTATTTTAAATTTAAAATAACACCACCACCACAAGCCTGAACTGAAAATCAGCTCTTCTGCTTCCCAGCTTCCTTCTGCAGGAACTACAGCTGGGCTACTACAATAAACTAACAAACAACTGATTATACATTAAGTCATAGATAAACAGTACTAAAAAGGTTGATACTACCAAAGGTTTGGAGGTCATTTGAATATGGGAGACATAACAAGCATTTCTTATTTTTCTTGCTGGGAAGTGTATTGTTTTAAGCCTGAGTCCAGTATATCAAACACTAACCAAGCTATTTTATTTAGGCTACCAAAGCTAAGGAGTTTGGCACTAGAGTGAAATACCACAGAAGTTGCAAATCGAAAGTCCTTTTTTCTTAAAAGACACCGAAAAACACACACAAAAGGCTTTAGAAATTTGCAATGTCATTTTAAAACAGAGCACTTCACAGAAGCAGAACTGTTTTAATACCCCCTAAACCTTTCTTATTCTTGCCCATTAAAAGGACAGTTACCTAGAGGATGGCAATAATTCTGGGTCAAAAGCAGCCTTAGGAGCCTCCAGCTCAGCATTCTGGAGCAGGTGGGAGAGTGTCCTTTGTGACAGAAGGATACCTGTGTGCACGGGGGCTCATCTGATGGTCACCTGGCTCACAGAGACCCAGCCCCAGCACACGGCCCGGCAGGGCCTTTGGATGCCTGTGCTCCAGGCTTAAAAACTGTTTTTTCAGCAACAGGCTTGACAAAAGCCAGGAGCATTTCGATGGCATTAAGCAGGCACCGCGAGGTAGGAACGAAAATCGTGTCACCCCTTTATCCAGCGAGAGCCTCCGTGAACATTTCAATACAACTATTTACTCCTCCCACCCAGTTCCTATCTGGAGAAGCTCACAAAAAAATTAAGGGGAAAAAAAAAAAAAACCCACCCAGATTTCTCGCAGCGATCTTCCCAAACGCCCTCCCTACCTCCCCCCCCTCCAGCCCAGAACAGAAGAAGGCAAAGAGAAGGAGAAAGTAAAAAATCTAAAACACAATTACGAAATAAGATCCAGTCTGGCAAAGCTGTGGTGAGGAGGAGTTGAAAAATGAGAGCTGCCTTGCTGCAAACGCCATCTTGTTGCAGCTACTGGGCCCAGGCACAGAGAGATCCATTCATTCACAGCGAAAAAGAAAAATCAAACACACACCCTCGGCTAATCTGCAGCCACCAAAACAACTACACTATTATCGCCCCTTCCCCTTCTCCTCTCCTGAAGCACGCCAGGGAAGGAGAGGAACTCCGAACCATTGCATTTAGAACGAATTTAGGCATTAAGGGATCCTCTTCGTTTCCTCGCACGCATTTCACAGGCACACCGACAGCGTTTTGCCTTGACTCACATCCTTGTGTCCAGATCAGCTTTTAAAAAACGGGATAAAACTCTCACGACTGGGTGTGGATATTCTACAGCAGCAAAATGTGCGATTTTTCAGTCTTAAATCACCTCTCCAAGTTGAGGCAACTATTCTCAAAAGCTGTTTCAGTAATCACTTAAGCCTTACATTTACAGCCCTTTCCTCCTATTTCCTCCTGTGGAGACAATACATAATAACGTGGCAGTCGGCATCCCAGAAAGGATGCCTGCCTTAAAACAACGAGTCCCGACCGTGACTTTGTTAGAGAATAATGAAATATCGCATTCGTTAAAATTTCAGTCCGTCTTCAGCAATGATAAATCGACATCTTACAACCTCTACATCATTCTGATTTTCTCCCGGACAGGATTTTTTTGTTAATAAAACGCCCTGTCTCCCTCGCATTTACATGCAAGGCTTTACACATCTTCATTCCCTACCAAGCCGTAGGATCAAAAAACCCCACACGTTCCAAACCCCTTGGGCGGATTAAAAAAAAAAAAAAAAA